TATCCCGAGTCTCCATCAACAGTCTCTATGTGTTTATCATCTGGTTATCCCGAGTCTCCATCAACAGTCTCTATGTGTTTATCATCTGGTTATCCCGAGTCTCCATCAACAGTCTCTATGTGTTTGGTGTTGGAATCAACCATCTGGTTATCCCGAGTCTCCATCAACAGTCTCTATGTGTTTATCATCTTGTTATCCCGAGTCTCCATCAACAGTCTCTATGTGTTTGGTGTTGGAATCAACCATCTGGTTATCCCGAGTCTCCATCAACAGTCTCTATGTGTTTGGTGTTGGAATCAACCATCTGGTTATCCCGAGTCTCCATCAACAGTCTCTATGTGTTTGGTGTTGGAATCAACCATCTGGTTATCCCGAGTCTCCATCAACAGTCTCTATGTGTTTGGTGTTGGAATCAACCATCTGGTTATCCCGAGTCTCCATCAACAGTCTCTATGTGTTTGGTGTTGGAATCAACCATCTGGTTATCCCGAGTCTCCATCAACAGTCTCTATGTGTTTGGTGTTGGAATCAACCATCTGGTTATCCCGAGTCTCCATCAACAGTCTCTATGTGTTTGGTGTTGGAATCAACCATCTGGTTATCCCGAGTCTCCATCAACAGTCTCTATGTGTTTGGTGTTGGAATCAACCATCTGGTTATCCCGAGTCTCCATCAACAGTCTCTATGTGTTTGGTGTTGGAATCATCCAGTGTTTTTTTTTCTTTTAATTTTAGACGTGAGGTTATCCCTAAATTATTACTTAGCAGTCTAAAACATGACTGTACCCTCCTGTACACTATTCACATGCACACGGTGCAAATAAGAGTGAATAATAAAATACATGTTTCACAATTGTAATTGTAGAATAAATAACTTGAAATGATAAAAAAAAATCGTCTTTTCGAATTCACTTGCGCCACTTCGCTGTGAAAGTCGTCGCCTTTCTGTCTTGAGCTCCTAGAAATTTCAGAGATTTCATGTATCAAAAACTTTGGTTATTACATGGTTGGTTACATTTTATCATAAATAAATGTTTATCAGAAGTTCGGATGTGCAATTTAATGGAATAATCTAAACATTACAGATAATTTTCTATGTTTTTTTTTTTTTTATTTTCCAAAGTTATTTCGTACATTACATAAAAAACAGACAGCAGCATACACACTGGCTTTCACACACAAAATTCTTTACATACATGATGTGTAAATAAGTGTCTGTAAACGTCCTGTCTAATTTGTATTCGTTACTGTCCGTGCATTTACGTGTATGTCCTTATTTGGTGTGTTACCTGTTAGATATTGTTAGCGTCTGTCCTTATATGGTGTTGTCTTGAGACGTGTACGTGTCCAGGTGTGACAGGTGAGGAAGTCGTGCGAGAGTGAGTGTGTAGGGTAACAAAACTAGGAACACCCCTGGATGCTGAGCAGAACCACAGACTAGTCACGTCGCTCTGGACGTCCTCGGGAGTCCAGGCGCCACATATAGCTACGGATGTAAAGTACTGACACGACCCGACGGTTGGTGATGTGAGGTGGTTTCATTCCTAAACCAGAGGTACCAATAAAAACTTTTAACACACAACGAATCGTAGTTGATGGTGTAACAATAAGAATGTGTAACATGCATCGTCGTCGTCGTCGTCGTCGTCATCATCATCATCGTCATCATCGTCATCTTCATCATCATTATCATCATCATCGTGTTACAGATAATCATGAATATTTGAAATAGTTTAAAATTCTAATAGCAATGCACTATTGCATTAAAACGGTATGCTGTCCCGCATGACAAGCGACCGTGATGATTCTTGTCCGTCTTCATTTTTTTGTATAAGGGTTCTAACTAAATGCTGACAATAGCAAAATTTTGGGAGAAGATGGATAACCACACCAGCAACCCATTTCAAGAATGAAGTAAGTGTAGGGCTGGAATTCGGTCGGTCGCTTAGATGTTGTTACCAAAACTTATTACCTTTTATAAAATCAAAGCAGCGTTGTAGAAACAATCGTCCTTTTAAAAGAACAGTGTTGTCGATAGAACCCTGCCTGAGAGAAATATGGTATCCTCTGTGTTGGCTATCACGTAGGCACCTAGAGCGGAGGAGAATTTTCCTACTCACCCTCCTGGAACCGGAAGTTTAGCAATCTCGTACTGACCAACGATGATGAGTGTTAAAGTTTACCCTGAGTGTAATTTTATATCTTTATATAATGTTAAGAATGCCGTAAAAATAATAATAACGAAAACCCCGTCAAAATCTGTCACCCCAGTGTCGAGTTATTAAAGCTCAAAGGGCCGGTTTTCAAAACGGCCCCTTCTCTGATTCAAATTTCCTGTTGGTGGTGCATTGCCCATGCCGTTGTGGTCACAAATCTATAAAGTATAAAGATTTAGGTCACTTGGTTTGTTTTTTATGGCTCCTCAAAGTTGTACCTTTCAGAAGCTGTCTAAGTGTTGATAAAATGTGCATGTTATGTAAAATATTAATGAAAATCTAATTAAATGATAGTCACCGTAAAGAATACATTCATGGCATGATTGTGACAAAAAGTCATGTTTCCATCGCGCCATTTGGCTGTTTTATGGAAGAAACAATCTCAAAAATGCCATTTTCGATGATAACATTTTAGACACAAAAACTGTGTTTTTTAGAGAATACACCCTTTTATGGGCGTTGGATGCAAACCAATTTTTATCCTATTAAATAGTACGTAATATGCTATTGATGAGAGGAAAAATCATCAAAATGTAAGTGGTGGAACATTTTCAAATGTTGGGTTGAATTAGCCTTTGGTTGAATTGCCGATTTTCGACTTTCTTTAGATAATTAACAAAAAAACGAGAGTATTTGCTCGGTATGTTGAGAATATGTACACAGATATGAAAAAAGTGAGAGAAACACTTTTTCATAAAAAATCCAAGATGGCTACTTCGGAAGTCCCCGTGGTTGAAGACATTGGCTGACAAATAGACAGAACAACAAACAAAACGTGTTCCTTATGATTTTGGTTGGTTTTCGCATTTACGGGAGTGTTCATAGCTACGGGCGATTGTATAATACCTATATTTATAAGTTTGGTTAGTCACATGGTAACGGGGATCTTTCATATCGAGCCCCAAACATACTTTCGACATATGCACTCTGTTGCCGCATGGAAAACTATTTCAAGTTTTGTCGGAATTTCTTTACCTGTGGTTGTAATGGTCGAGGGTTTTCCAGCGTCCTGTAATACCCAAGGTAGTACAAGATACTGGAGATGTGCGCACACATTCCCATCGTTCTCTCTCCAACTGGGCACTGGCAGTAGTAGTCCTTTATTGGGGCCTCAACATCGAGTGAAACGGTGAACCGTATCCAAACGTTATATTTCGTTTGGCTTTTGTGTCGAGAATGTATTTGACATCGGAGAAGGTCTGGGGAGTGCTGGTAAAGCCACACCTCATAATCGCCGTCATCACTTAAATGTTCGGCGATGTAACCAGGAGCCAGAGATATCTGATACGTTCCACACGTAATGGTTCTCAAGTAATCAAGATCGAGACGGGGAAACAGTACTTTATTTATTTTTTTTTTACATCATAAAACTGTCATGAAAATATCCGCTCTGATATTCAATATAAAAGTTTGTATATAAGCTATATAATAGGGTTTCAGACAAAGTTGTTACTCATTTCCCATTTTCTTTCAATTTACAACCACATTCAGGCGGCGATATGAGAACGTTCCACCACATGGAACTAGCTGATTTTTGGTACACATATGAAACAAGTAAAGCTCTATCCGATTTTCTGATGGAAATTTGCATCCAAAACTATATAACGGGAGAAAATTGCAAATTTATGGCATTTTTCTTCATAATTGTGTCTCTGCAAGTGCATTTTCATCCGAGAATATTTTTTTTATGTTTTATGAATAAACACGATGTTTTGGAAATATTTATCAAAAGAAATTTATACTATGTTGCGAATTACAATTTCGAGATAACCTTCTTTTATTTACGAACTTATGTCTTTGATGCTGAAATTGACAACTTTATAAAAATACATTTTCACTGAAATTATGAAATCTGGGTGTCGGAGAGGTGTAAAATTATTTTTCGGAAAAGAAAAAAACAGTAGTTGAGCTAGATAAGAAATTATACGGGGGCAGGCTCCTATGGAGAATTAACATTACTGGAAACAGGCCCTTTGTCGATTTTCACCTGTCCGCTCGGACCTAATCAGCGTAATCATTATTTCCGCGGAATCGAGGCGCTTCTACTCGTGACGTCATCAGTTCAACAGAAACGGCAGCCAACATGACTGACAGTGACAACGACACTGCACCTGATAGCGATTTGAACATGAGTTTTGAGGAGTCTGATTATGGTGTGGATGATATTTCTGAAGGCGGAATCCAGCCCTACCGATTTGAACCGGAATTACAAGACGATGTATCCAGTGAGGAGGAAAATAACATCGTCATTTAGTCGAACTCTTTTCGGCGGAGTCCGATCCATTGCTTTCTTTACACTATACCGAATTGGTAATGAAGTTCCGTCGAAGTGAGCATAAATATGAATATATATATATAGCCGGATTGACTGCGGTAAATTGTTACCATCTCGTCACACTATTGTCAACCTTAGTGAACATAGGATTATAGTACCGTCGAAAAAGCTGGTCGATTCCTTACTATCTCGGAGACTACGTACGTCAGCGCTAGTACGATCCATACTAGTCATTTTTCTGATGAAGGTGACCGTGCTGTCATGGAAACTACACACTCTAATCTCCTACTAGTTGTGTTAAAAGAATTTTTATTCTATAGACATAACCAACCCGAAGAAAATATTCCAAGTCGGTGTATTACATTTAGAATGAAATTCAAAATCAAACCCCTTATTTAAATCCTAAATCCGTCAACAAAAATCACTGCCAAATCTCATTAGTCTTTAAGGGCCTTACACAAACCACATTAATATGTGTATTACTAAAAATCATCAACTTCATTGAGCGATTAATTTTTATTCTGTAAAGCAAAGCAAATGAATTGGAATGATTTTCAAAACAAGGAATTGACAAGACACAATTACATGTATTTTTACGGGTGTTCAACAACCGCAAGTCACGACGAAACTTCCGGCAATCTCCGGAAATTTTCAGAAGTCACGTGAGCACCAACACACATTACCCGGGACTTCAATAAACAATATCTTAGAGATTAATATCTGACTCATCCAAAAGGGACGTCAACGTGATATGCGTGAAATCCCTCCTTTCAAGTTTAAAGCTAAAACAAATATGTGTGATAAAGGGGAGGGGGCATATATTATATTTCTCTCGTGTAGATGGACACTATCGACAAGATATCAAATAAAAGTTATTTTCTCAACGAAATCCTAATATTGGAAAGTCCTTTATGCAAATAACAAAATCATATGTTCACTATAGAAATAAGCTATAAGCCTGACCACCTATACCAACACACAGCAAAATATAGATAATACAATACACACAAAGATTAAAATCTTCATGATTTTTCAACATTCGAATCTTTTTTAACAGGTAGATTCCTCACTGAAAAATCATTCAGGTGCCCGTTGTCTGTCAAGTGTCAAGTGCACAGCATAAGCGTACAACATACCAACTTCTACAAGGAGACCTCGGCCTTAATCCTCTCGTAAAGTTTTTCTATTCCAGATGAGAGGAAATTGGAGAAAAAGTATTTGTATTGTTATAGGCCTCCATGAACAATGAAAAGAAAAAATTGTCTTTTAACAATGGTCATAAATAACGTAGTTTTACTTAGATGTAGAAATTCTCATCTCACCCCCGGAACTAAATGTGTGATGATTCTCTTTCTGGTCAGATTGTAGCATTTCCATGAATTTTCGTCTAAAATTTCTGCTAAAAAATCCGTAAATAAACGGGTTAAAAGCATTCCCGATGAAGTGCGACATTAAACCAATATTGTACCAGACTTGTTGGGATTCTGATAAGGACTCTAAGAAATTGGGTAAAAAAGACTTGCACATAGCTAATACAACATAGGGGAGGAAACTGATAAATTCAAGAACTGCGATTAAAAGTAGAATTAATGTAATTTTCTGTCTTTTCATTATTCGGGTAGATCGTCTTCGCATGCTTTTCAGATTGATAGAAATTTGGGATAAGTCCACAAACGAGGCTTTCCTGACGATGGAATTTCGGATGTTCTTGTCCTTGTTCCCTAAGGTGCTTGAACGGGATTCGTCAGTTGTCGTATCTTGAGAAAAATGACCAGATGAATATTGTTGAAATTTTTCCGTCATTACTTTTGAAATGGATCGTTTGGACTTGGATGATCGAAGACGACAAAGTTTAACACCAACAAGGAGATAAAAGACAAACATGCATGCTGACACTACGATGAAGATGAGAAACAGCATCAGGTAATACAAAAGAGGATAAATAGTCCCTCGGAGGTGTTGAGCGGTCGAACAAGAAGTTTGTAGAAATGGATCAGTATCTCGATCGAAATTTCCAAACACAAAAAATGCTGGCCAAGAAAGACACACAGCTACTGGTAAAGACACAACGCATAGTGTTTTGGCCTCTTGTACAGACATTTGTGTTTGTGTGTATTTACAAACTCGCATGTATCTATCTACGGCTATTGCAAGGAGTATAAAAGCTGCAGCCATTGACGTAAATGCACGTGACAATCGAAGAATACGACAGAGTACACTGTCGTTTGCTGTGATTGGATTGGTCAAGAACACAATTTCCAAAGGCATGCACAAACCGGAAGTGATTAGGTCGAGCGTTGCTAGGGAACCAATAAAATATTTTATTGACGTCGCTTTCCATCGAAATAAGTACACATACACTACCACAGGATTTCCAAGAAGTCCAAAACACATTAAAATGCAAACAAATATGGTGACAGGCAGCAACTGTCGTGCCATTTGTGAATTCAAAATCAATCGATCAACTTGGGAGGAATTTCTCTGCATATGTATTCTGTATGGCGATTGAGTCGTTTGATTGGTCAGGTTGCTTGTCAAAGTCGAAGCTAGGTGTATGGCATTTCCGGCTGTTAGCGTTAATAAATCAAGAGTTGAAACATCTATCGCAAAGGTATCTGGAAAGACAATGACATATTGTAGAACTTTATTATTTATTTTGAAAGCAAATAAGTATATAGATAAGAACATTTTATGTTAATGACCTAGTTTTTATACAAACACTGACCAGAGTACAGCTTGATTAGATTAGATGATCTGACCACACGGGGACATTTACAAGGTTTACTTGACAAAATGTATGTTATTACATTACAATAAAAATTGTCTGGAGTGATCTCCCTTTAACTAAGGTAACGTAAATAATTCATTAATTTCAAATATCAAAATCAATATTACCAGAATATTGCCTATTTAATACTATAAATGGATATTGGTATTGTTTTATGTGCACTGAAAGATGTCCCAGTGCAACTCTCAGTTCTGAAAAAGCCAGTCTTCGGGACTAATATGCTCGGGCATAGGAAATTGCGTGGTAGGAGAGATATCAAAGTTCCATTTTATTTAGCGATAAATCGTATTGATATTTTTCAAATAAAAGCATTGGCTAAAACGCAGATAACATGTAGTAAACAAGTTTTTCTTAGATCTTAGTGAACACCTGGGGAAGACAAAGCGAAATTTAAAATACAGTTTAATAAATGAATTCATATTAGCGGTTATCTTGATATAAAAAGAGTACATATATTTACATACAGGTCCGAATTATTATGTTAAAGACCGTAGCAACTATACAATAACTGATCCAAGTACATAGTGTCCAAATAAGATGATCTGATCACACAGGGCCGTTGTATAAGGTTTACCCGCCGAAATATAGGCAACTTAAATTCCGAACGAAGCTGTCTGGAATTATCTCCCTTTAAGATATAGGATTGTTGTCCATTACCTAAAAACATGAGAATCATATGAACTAATTTTTCCTTATGTGGCACTCGATCTTCATTCTGTACAACATTGAAGATCTCGGTTAGCATTTTTAATTGAATGAAAAACGCATATTTCAGTGTTCATCATTGTTGTCATCTAGCATTATACATCAAATATATAAATACTCATTAGTTTGTGGTGACGATAAATATAATAGAACGGTGATAACACTGTATGTAATTACAGGGATTTGACATTTTTAACATTACGTCCAACCTATTCTGTAGTATTGTATTAATCAGGATAACAATCTTCATTGTGAAAATGTATGCTGGCGTAGTAGGATCCTTGCAATTCGTATTTTGGAGGTCTCTTATGAGATTTGACCAATGTTTATCATCCGACATTTTCCTCTCTGACTTCAATGCTAGAGACATACAGAAAGATTTTATCTTATGTTTTATCTTTTATCCTTTGTTCAAACTAAAGGGACGTCTTCATTTTCTGAATCGTGAACTATGTATGACAGTCAGTTAGATATGCTGTATTGCTGTATCGGCATTACCATTACAACTAAAAATATCTATAACTTATTGTAAAGTCATGAACTTTCGGGATTGGGGATGCTATTGTCATGGAGTTCGTAGGTACTCTTAAATTCACAAAGTCATATTCACAATCTGTCAAAACAAGTATAAGTAGATTAATTGAGCTGTATTCACCAAAGAAATAAATTTGTCGACAAAATATTACTTTTTGAAAACTGCGAGAATCGCGTCCCACGAAAATGTATGATGTTACAGTATATCTTAGTTCGAAATTGAAATCATCCAGACAGATTACAAAGGTTCAATTTAGTTCTAGAAATTTTGCAGCTGTCTCGTCTTTGAATAGCCCGAGGACGTTATTGTCCTTGTTCTTTTGTCGGCCAATTTGATTTTACTATTCAGCTTGATTTGATAAGAATTGTTTTTACCTTCGTTGGGACAATTAACAACTCACCATTTATGTTCATGTTTCGTCGTCGAGTGTATTTATCCCTTAATATTTCTCTTTGTCAGCCTAAAATATCAGTGTCCACTTCATGTAGCATGTAGACAAACTTTCTTGTGAATTTTTTCCTGAAATATCAAAGACATTGTATTCATTGTGACATTGGTTATTTGACTTCGAGTGACATTGTTCACGTATAACTAAGATTATTTTTAAGGATTTTCGAGTATGAGAGAAATTCACGAATATTAGTACACTAATATGTGAATAGAGGAAACTTCGTCAAACTAAAGGCCATCTTTATACAAAGGCTACCTGTCTATAAAGACCACCTTTACACAAAGGCTACCTGTATATAAAGGCCACCTTTATACAAAGGCTACCTGTCTATAAAGACCATATTTATACAAAGGTTACCTGTCTATAAAGACAACCTTTATACAAAGGTTACCTGTCTATAAAGACTACCTTTATACAAAGACCACCTGTCTATAAAGGTCGTCCTTATACAAAGGCAACTTGCCTTTAAAATCTTATTTTTCCTATATATAACGCAATTCATAGTAATTGAAACTCTAGATAAAGGTCACTTTTGTTTGCTCCCTTGAGCGGTCTTTATAGACAGGTTTTAATGTATAAAGTATGCTTCAACGCTTCCGTAAAAAATACATACTTTTTTCCTCAAAGTTTCGTAAAATCTTTTTCAATTTATGATATAATTTCTTGTTGCATGACTAATTGTTTCCGTCTTCAATTTCACGATTTAGTTTCGTAAAATCTTTTTTTTTTCAATTTCTGATATAATTTCTTGTTGCATGACTGATTGTTCCCGTCTTCAATTTCATAATTTAGTTTCGTAAAAAAAAAAATCAATTTCCGATATAATTTCTTGTTGCATGACTGATTGTTCCCGTCTTCAATTTCATAATTTAGTTTCGTAAAAAAAAAATCAATTTCCGATATAATTTCTGGTTGCATGACTGATTGTTCCCGTCTTCAATTTCATAATTTAGTTTCGTAAAAAAAAATCAATTTCCGATATAATTTCTTGTTGCATGACTGATTGTTCCCGTCTTCAATTTCATAATTTAGTTTCGTAAAAAAAAATCAATTTCCGATATAATTTCTTGTTGCATGACTGATTGTTCCCGTCTTCAATTTCACGATTTAGTTTCGTAAATTTTTTTTTTTTTTCAATTTCTGATATAATTTCTTGTTGCATGACTGATTGTTTCCGTCTTCAATTTCACAATTTTTGAAATCTTCTAAAGTCATTATTATTGAAATGGAGTATTTGATGAAACACTTGCACAAATAAATGACATGTTGACTGTTTCGTTTGTTTGGGTTTTTTTTTTCTTTGTTGATGCCACGTCTTTAATTTTGATGGTACTTGGACATTTTATTTATTTTTAAGGAAATCTCAATTATTTCCTTGAATCTTAAATTTTCAGCATAACTCATTTCGTTTTCTAAATAGTATCTACGAATTGTATATTTAAGTATGTTGGGCGGGAATAATATCGTGACAGTGGTTTACTTTATAACCCCACTTACAGGTCAAAACACTTCAGCTAGAATGAATCAAGCACGGTCACGTAGCGAACAGAGTGCAGGGCACAAGCATGTACAAAATCCGGTCTGGTCCCTGACACGTGCGTCATCTGTTTATTCGAAACGTGTGAATATGACCTTGGAGACGACATATCAGTCCTTTTTTTTTTAAATACATAAACACTGAAAATTGAGAACGAACTTAAATGTATTTGACTGTAATTATATACATTGTTGGAAAGAACAAGGGCTAAAAAAAATACTTTGTTGTTTTTGTGAGCTGTTTATAGTTGTTGTTTTTAGGAGCTGGTAATAGTTGTTGTTTTTGTGAGCTGGTAATAGTTGTTGTTTTTAGGAGCTGGTAATAGTTGTTGTTTTTGTGAGCTGGTAATAGTTGTTGTTTTTGTGAGCTGGTAATAGTTGTTGTTTTTGGGAGCTGGTAATAGTTGTTGTTTTTGGGAGCTGGTAATAGTTGTTGTTTTTGTGAGCTGGTAATAGTTGTTGTTTTTGGGAGCAGGTAATAGTTGTTGTTTTTGTGAGCTGGTAATAGTTGTTGTTTTTAGGAGCTGGTAATAGTTGTTGTTTTTGTGAGCTGGTAATAGTTGTTGTTTTTGGGAGCTGGTAATAGTTGTTGTTTTTGTGAGCTGGTAATAGTTGTTGTTTTTAGGAGCTGGTAATAGTTGTTGTTTTTGTGAGCTGGTAATAGTTGTTGTTTTTAGGAGCTGGTAATAGTTGTTGTTTTTAGGAGCTGGTAATAGTTGTTGTTTTTGTGAGCTGGTAATAGTTGTTGTTTTTAGGAGCTGGTAATAGTTGTTGTTTTTAGGAGCTGGTAATAGTTGTTGTTTTTAGGAGCTGGTAATAGTTGTTGTTTTTGTGAGCTGGTTATAGTTGTTGTTTTTAGGAGCTAGTAATAGTTGTTGTTTTGTGAGCTGGTAATAGTTGTTGTTTTTGTGAGCTGGTAATAGTTGTTGTTTTTGGGAGCTGGTAATAGTTGTTGTTTTTATAAGCTGATAATGGTTTTGAAATTGAGCGAGCTCATCGCCTTGTGAAAAGCCATGGTCATTTTAGGCGGGGTTTCGCTGACGGGAATGTGCTTAAGGACACAACCGTGATAGCACAGATTCCTGTGCTTCCTTGGAAACACAAACCGCCCCGAGGAAGGGGATTTGAACCGCGCCCCTCTGATTTTCACCTGTCAAGTCGCAAGTATTATGACAGCAGGAAAATTGTTGTTTTAAAACATGAAATTTATATCACACGATTATATACAGTAAAATCTCGATATAATGTTCCTTGTTTATATACAGCAAACCTTGGTATAATGTCCCTCGTTTATATAAGTAAAACCTCTTTATAATGCCCCCCTTGTTGTTATACAGTAAAACCTTGATATAAAGACCCGTGCTTATATACAGTAAAACCTTGATATAAAGACCCGTGCTTATATACAGTAAAACCTTGAGAATGTTACAGTGACGCTTGTAATCTGTGTACCGTCGGCCGGGAGAATGTTACAGTAACGCTTGTGTTCGGTGTACCGTCGGCCGGGAGAATGTCACAGTAACGCTTGTGTTCGGTGTACCGTCGGCCGGGAGAATGTCACAGTGACGCTTGTGTTCGGTGTACCGTCGGCCGGGAGAATGTTACAGTAACGCTTGTGTTTGGTGTACCGTCGGCCGGGAGGATGTTACAGTGACGCTTGTAATCCGTGTACCGTCGGCCGGGAGAATGTAACAGTGACGCTTGTGTTATTCAGCGTTGTCAGTTCGGCGGACAGCATTGAACTTGTGGAACTGAATTCGCACCCCTTCCTTACTGAGGCTATCAATCCTGTTTGACCGATTATCTGATCCACTGTTTCATTATGAATATAATGCATAGTAAATAACGATTTGGTACGTAATGTAGCATATTATTTTACCCAAAAATTCTTAGTCTAAACACTCAAAATACACAATTACTTTTTTCCGACGCAAAACAAAAGGACCGTGTTTCCATACGAAATAAAACATACTACATGTACACATTTTCTCTGCAATGAAAGATCTTTGTGCGGTAAGAAGTGTTTTGGGGTTTACCGCAACTGACGGTAAATTCTAATTACTGAAAAGTGAATAGAGAAATGATAGAAATGTAGTTTATATAACCTCGATGTATATAATGGACAATTATTTACAATTTCTTAACTTGGTATTGAATACGTATTCCGCTACACTCTAACTACATCACGTGATACCGACATGTAACGAACAAGACCACGTGATACCGACATGTTATGCAATACACTTTATAAAAATATTTAATTGATTTCAAATTTTTTTTATTTTAATACATGTATTAAGTAAACAATTAAGGTTCGACTCCCGAAACGGGCGTGAAAAGGATGGGGACATCTGCCCGACCACGTGGGCTTTCCCCAGGGTACTCCGGTTTCCTTCCACAGTAAGACCCTTCTATATTTATAGCTATAAGGTTCAATAACTTGTCTGGCGATTGTTGCAAGATAAAAAGTTTGGAGGGTTTTTAACACCCCTTTGATCATTCACGTGAAAAAAAAACAACCAGTTAACTAAATTATAAATAAGGTATATATGTGTGTGTGTGTGTGTGTCTGTGTTTGTGTGTGTGTGTGAGTGTCTGTGTTTGTGTGTGTGTGTGTGTGTGTGTGTGTGTGTGTGTGTGTGTGTGTGTTTGTGTGTGTGTGTGTGTGTGTGTGTGTGTGTGTGTGTGTGTGTGTGTGTGTCTGTGTGTCTGTGTGTGTGTGTGTGTGTGTGTGTGTGTGTGTGTGTGTGTGTGTGTCTGTGTCTGTGTGTGTGTGTGTGTGTGTGTGTGTGTGTGTCTGTGTGTGTGTGTGTCTGTGTGAGTGTCTGTGTGTGTGTGTGTGTGTGTGTGTGTGTGTGTGTGTGTGTCTGTGTGAGGGTGTGTGTCTGTGTGAGTGTGTGTGAGTGTGTGTATGTGTGTGTGTGTGTATGTGTGTGTGTGTGTGTGTGTGTGTCTGTGTGTGTGTGTGTGTGTCTGTGTGTGTGTGTGTGTGTGTGTGTGTGTGTGTGTGTGTTTGTGTGTGTGTGTGTGTGTGTGTGTGTCTGTGTGTGTGTGTGTGTGTCTGTGTGTGTGTGTGAGTGTGTGTGTGTCTGTGTGTGTGTGTGTGTGTGTGTGTGTCTGTGTGAGTGTGTGTGTGTGTGTGTGTGTGTGTGTGTGTGTGTGTGTGTGTCTGTGTGTGTGTCTGTGTGTGTGTGTGTGTGTGTGTGTGTGTGTGTGTGTGTCTGTGTGAGTGTCTGTGTGTGTGTGTGTGTGTGTGTGTGAAGTATGTATGTATGTATAGTAACAGTAGACAGCACATCGCCATTTTGAATCAATCAGTAAAGGGATTTTCCCTCAAAGGACAAAGAATGCCAAACTTTTGGTTATTGAAACAGAAAAAAATCTTAACTCAATTGATTTAAAAAAGAAAAAAAAACCTTTTTCTCTAATGAAATAACAAACGGGTATAAATACTACACATTATATATATATAAGTTAATAACGGATTTACTTACTATATCCAGCAGAAGTTGTTCGAGTGACTGTCGTCTGCTCGTTTCTATTCACGAGTATATTTGATACTGTAAGTATTTTGTACTGTTCCTCTCGTGTATATATATGCCTTTCCACTTGACAATAAGGATGTAATTAAGAACAATGTGCTGCCAAATCGATGTAAAGACCATGTGATAATTATCACAACAGAGAATTTAACGTCATCGTCAGAGGGAAATAATTCGTGCGAAATTCGTTGATAGTATCATGATGTGATCGGTTTCACCTGACACGAAATATCACCGAGATTATTCGTTTTTCACGTTTTCAAGTATGCAGCACTTACCTAAAGGTCAAGAGATTTGTTTTTATTACTAATGTTTTGATGAGACAGTAAGAAGATAATTCAATTAATATGGTGGCGGATTTCTGCCATTACGTTTTGTCCTCCGATAGAGCGATAATCTTCGTCTGGTCGCAGTGACTAATTATCGTCATTTCGCAGCGACACAAATGAGAAAAAAGACTATTACTCAACTCAAAATAACGGGAAAGTGAGGTCACGAAATTGTAAGGCGAATTAATATTCGCAGCGACAAAATACCAAATATGGTAAAGTCGCCTCGGTAAGTATCATCTCTTCACCGTGTCAAAACGAAACAACGAAATGATAGAAATCAGCGATCAGAATGGTCTGTGGTTCTGGAGTCAGCTGGAATGAATACATCTTTGTATTCTTTAGAAAGATAATTATTTCTATGCACACAGGTACCAGCCTCCTCTGTCGGTAAATGAGGTAAAGCGGTAACTAAGCTGGCCTTACCAAAACGACTCATTTTCGAGAAAGATGTGTTGGTCACGAAACCATCGCAGCTATCTTGCTTGGAGTGGTCAGAATCGACAGATAAATAATTTTTCAGAGACATCTTGCTGGGAGTGGTCAGAATCGACAGATAAATGATTTTTTTCTAATTTGGTATAGGATTCACTCTATATCGTGCTCGAAAACTGTCAGACTTCAAACATTGTTAAATTGTCAGATTTCAGTTAGTCGAACACTCCTCTAGCGGCGAAATCAGACACTGAATTCTTATAAACTATCTTCAAAAACATCTTTACATATCATGTGATTATATTATAATGACGTTTTAAATCTGATGTTGACGGAATAACGTAAATCACACACACAAGTCAATAAATGATCATCTCGACAAACAGGTATAAACTGTATATATTACCGAAATACGTACATTCGATAATTTAAATCCATTGTAAATATTTGACTCTAAAACCCCGGTGCTCACAACCACGATGTCCACAGCCATCCAGTCCCTGGTGCCAACAACCGTCTATCCCCCTGTGTCGACAGCCGTCCAGCCCCACGGTGTCCACAGCCGTCCAGTCCACGATGTCCACAGCCATCCACTCCCTGGTGCCAACAACCGTCTATCCCCCAGTGTCCAAAGCCGTCCACTCCCCGATGTCCAAAGCCGTCCAGCCCACGGTGTCCACAACTGTCTATCCCCCGGTGCCCACAGCCGTCCAGCACCGGTGTCCACAGCCGTCTATCCCCCGGTGTCCACAACCGTCTATACCCCGGTGTCCACAGCCGTCCAGCCCACGGTGTCCACAGTCGTCCAGCACCGGTGTCCACAAGCGTCTATCTCCCGGTGTTCACAGCCGTCCAGCACCCGGTGTCCATGGCCGTCCAGCCCACGGTGTCCACAGCCGTCTATCCCCCGGTGTCCACAGCCGTCCAGCACAAGGTGTCCACAGCCGTCCAGCCCTAGGTGTCCACAGTCGTCCAGTCCCCGGTGTCCACAAGCCTCTATCTCCCGGTGTCCACAGCCGTCCAGCACCCGGTGTCCATGGCCGTCCAGCCCCACGGTGTCCACAGCCGTCTATCCCCCGGTGTCCACAGCCGTCCAGCACAAGGTGTCCACAGCCGTCCAGCCCTAGGTGTCCACAGTCGTCCAGTCCCCGGTGTCCACAAGCCTCTATCTCCCGGTGTCCACAGCCGTCCAGCACCCGGTGTCCATGGCCGTCCAGCCCCACGGTGTCCACAGCCGTCCAGTCCGCGGTGTCCACAGCCGTTTATCCCCCGGTGTCCACAGCCATCCAGCCCCCGGTGTCCACAGCTGTCCAGACCGGGTGTCCACAACCGTCCAGTCCCCGGTGTCCACAGCCGTCGAGCCCCATGTTTCCACAGCCGTCCAGCCCCCGGTGTCCACAGCCGTCCAGCCCCAGATGACCACAGCCGTCCAGCCCTCGATGTCCACAGCCGTCCACCCCCGGTGTACACAACCATCCATCCCCCTATGTACACAAGCGTCTATCTCCAGGTGTCCACAGCCGTCCAGCACCCGGTGTCCATAGCCATCCAGCCCCACGGTGTCCACAGCCGACCAGTCCACGATGTCCACAGCCATCCAGTCCCTGGTGCCAACAACCGTCTATCCCCCTGTGTCGACAGCCGTCCAGCCCCACGGTGTCCACAGCCGTCCAGTCCACGATGTCCACAGTCATCCACTCCCTGGTGCCAACAACCGTCCATCCACCAGTGTCCAAAGCCGTCCACTCCCCGATGTCCAAAGCCGTCCAGCCCACGGTGTCCACAACTGTCTATCCCCCGGTGCCCACAGCCGTCCAGCACCGGTGTCCACAGCCGTCTATCCCCCGGTGTCCACAACCGTCTATACCCCGGTGTCCACAGCCGTCCAGCCCACGGTGTCCACAGTCGTCCAGCACCGGTGTCCACAAGCGTCTATCTCCCGGTGTTCACAGCCGTCCAGCACCCGGTGTCCATGGCCGTCCAGCCCACGGTGTCCACAGCCGCCCAGTCCCCGGTGTCCACAGCCGTCTATCCCCCGGTGTCCATAGCCGTCCAGCCCAAGGTGTCCACAGCCGTCCAGCCCTAGGTGTCCACAAGTCGTCCAGTCCCCGGTGTCCACAAACCTCTATCTCCCGGTGTCCACAGCCGTCCAGCACCAGGTGTCTATGGCCGTCCAGCCCCACGGTGTCCACAGCCGTCCAGTCGCTGGTGTCCACAGCCGTTTATCCCCCGGTGTCCACAGCCGTCTATCCCCCGGTGTCCACAACCGTCCAGTCCACGGTGTCCACAGCCGTTCAGCCCCCGGTGTCCACAGCCGTCCAGTCTCTGGTGTCCACAACCGTCTATCTACCGGTGTCCACAGCCGTCCAGTCCATGGTGTCCACAGTCGTCCAGTCTCTGGTGTCCACAGCCGTCCAGCCCCGATGTCCACAGTCGTCCAGCCCCCGGTGGCCACAGCCGTCAATCTACCGGTGTCCACAGTCGTCCAGTCTCTGGTGTCCACAGCCGTCTATCTACCGGTGTCCACAGCCGTCCAGCACCCGGTGTCCATAGCCATCCAGCCCCACGGTGTCCACAGCCGACCAGTCCACGATGTCCACAGCCATCCAGTCCCTGGTGCCAACAACCGTCTATCCCCCTGTGTCGACAGCCGTCCAGCCCCACGGTGTCCACAGCCGTCCAGTCCACGATGTCCACAATCATCCACTCCCTGGTGCCAACAACCGTCTATCCCCCAGTGTCCAAAGCCGTCCACTCCCCGATGTCCAAAGCCGTCCAGCCCACGGTGTCCACAACTGTCTATCCCCCGGTGCCCACAGCCGTCCAGCACCGGTGTCCACAGCCGTCTATCCCCCGGTGTCCACAACCGTCTATACCCCGGTGTCCACAGCCGTCCAGCCCACGGTGTCCACAGTCGTCCAGCACCGGTGTCCACAAGCGTCTATCTCCCGGTGTTCACAGCCGTCCAGCACCCGGTGTCCATGGCCGTCCAGCCCACGGTGTCCACAGCCGCCCAGTCCCCGGTGTCCACAGCCGTCTATCCCCCGGTGTCCACAGCCGTCCAGCCCAAGGTGTCCACAGCCGTCCAGCCCTAGGTGTCCACAAGTCGTCCAGTCCCCGGTGTCCACAAACCTCTATCTCCCGGTGTCCACAGCCGTCCAGCACCAGGTGTCTATGGCCGTCCAGCCCCACGGTGTCCACAGCCGTCCAGTCGCTGGTGTCCACAGCCGTTTATCCCCCGGTGTCCACAGCCGTCTATCCCCCGGTGTCCACAACCGTCCAGTCCACGGTGTCCACAGCCGTTCAGCCCCCGGTGTCCACAGCCGTCCAGCACCCGGTGTCCACAGCCGTCCAGCCCCCGATGTCCACAGCCTTCCAGCCCCCGGTGTCCACAGCCGTCTATCTACTGGTGTCCACAGCCTTCCAGCCCCCGATGTCCACAGCCGTCCAGCCCCCGGTGTCCACAGCCTTCCAGCCCCCGGTGTCCACAGCCGTCCAGTCCCCGGTGTCCACAGCCTTCCAGCCCCCGGTGTCCACAGCCGTCCAGCACCCGGTGTCCATGGCCGTCCAGCCCACGGTGTCCACAGCCGTCTATCCCCCGGTGTCCACAGCCGTCCAGCCCAAGGTGTCCACAGCCGTCCAGTCGCTGGTGTCCACAGCCGTTTATCCCCCGGTGTCCACAGCCGTCTATCCCCCGGTGTCCACAACCGTCCAGTCCACGGTGTCCACAGCCGTTCAGCCCCCGGTGTCCACAGCCGTCCAGCCCCCGGTGTCCACAGCCGTCCAGCCCCCGATGTCCACAGCCTTCCAGCCCCCGGTGTCCACAGCCGTCTATCTACTGGTGTCCACAGCCTTCCAGCCCCCGATGTCCACAGCCGTCCAGCCCCCGGTGTCCACAGCCTTCCAGCCCCCGGTGTCCACAGCCGTCCAGTCCCCGGTGTCCACAGCCTTCCAGCCCCCGGTGTCCACAGCCGTCCAGCACCCGGTGTCCATGGCCGTCCAGCCCACGGTGTCCACAGCCGTCTATCCCCCGGTGTCCACAGCCGTCCAGCCCAAGGTGTCCACAGCCGTCCAGTCTCTGGTGTCCACAGCCGTCCAGTCCACGGTGTCCGCAGCCTTCCAGCCCCCGGTGTCCACAGACGTCCAGTTTATGGTGTCCTCAGCCGTCTATCTACCGGTTTTCACAGCCGTCCAGCCCCCGGTGTCCACAGCCGTCCAGTCTCTGGTGTCCACAGCCGTCCAGCCCCGATGTCCACAGTCGTCCAGCCCCCGGTGGCCACAGCCGTCAATCTACCGGTGTCCACAGTCGTCCAGTCTCTGGTGTCCACAGCCGTCTATCTACCGGTGTCCACAGCCGTCCAGACCCCGGTGTCCACAGTCCAGTCCCCGGTGATCACAGCCGTCTATCTACCGGTGTCCACAGCCGTCCAGTCTCTGGTGTCCACAGCCGTCTATCTACCGGTGTCCAAAGCCGTCCAGTCTCCGGTGTCCACAGCCGTCTATCCACCGGTGTCCACAGCCGTCTATCTACCGGTGTCCTCAGCCGTCCAGTCCCCGGTGTCAACAGCCGTGTATCCCCCGTTGTCTACAGCCGTCCAGTCCACGGTGTCAACAGCCGTCCAGTCTCTGGTGTCCACAGCCGTCCAGTCCACGGTGTCCACAGCAGCCCAGTCCACGGTGTCCACAGCCGTCCAGTCCCCGGTGGCCACAGCCGTCTATCTACCGGTGTCCTCAGCCGTCCAGCCCCCGGTGTCCAGAGTCGTCCAGTCTCTGGTGTCCACAACCGTCTATCTACCGGTGTCCACAGCCGTCCAGTCCACGGTGTCCACAGTCGTCCAGTCTTTGGTGTCCACAGCCGTCCAGCCCCCGATGTCCACAGCCTTCCAGCCCCCGGTGTCCACAGTCATCCAGTCTCTGGTGTCCACAGCCGTCTATCTACCGGTGTCCACAGCCGTCCAGTCCCCGATGTCCACAGCCTTCCAGCCCCCGGTGTCCACAGTCGTCCAGTCTCTGGTGTCCACAGCCGTCTATCTACCTGTGTCCACAGCCGTCCAGACCCCGGTGTCCACAGTCGTCCAGTCCCCGGTGGCCACAGCCGTCTATCTACCGGTGTCCACAGCCGTCCAGTCTCTGGTGTCCACAGCCGTCTATCTACCGGTGTCCAAAGCCGTCCAGTCTCCGGTGTCCACAGCCGTCTATCTACCGGTGTCCACAGCCGTCCAGTCCACGATGTCCACAGCCGTCTATCCACCGGTGTCCACAGCCGTCTATCTACCGGTGTCCACAGCCGTCCAGTCCCCGGTGTCAACAGCCGTGTATCCCCCAATGTCCACAGCCGTCCAGTCCACGGTGTCCACAGCCGTCCAGTCTCTGGTGTCCACAGCCGTCCAGTCCACGGTGTCCACAGCAGCCCAGTCCACGGTGTCCACAGCCGTCCAGTCCCCGGTGGCCACAGCCGTCAATCTACCGGTGTCCACAGTCGTCCAGTCTCTGGTGTCCACAGCCGTCTATCTACCGGTGTCCACAGCCGTCCAGACCCCGGTGTCCACAGTCGTCCAGTCCCCGGTGATCACAGCCGTCTATCTACCGGTGTCCACAGCCGTCCAGTCTCTGGTGTCCACAGCCGTCTATCTACCGGTGTCCAAAGCCGTCCAGTCTCCGGTGTCCACAGCCGTCTATCCACCGGTGTCCACAGCCGTCTATCTACCGGTGTCCTCAGCCGTCCAGTCCCCGGTGTCAACAGCCGTGTATCCCCCGATGTCTACAGCCGTCCAGTCCACGGTGTCAACAGCCGTCCAGTCTCTGGTGTCCACAGCCGTCCAGTCCACGGTGTCCACAGCAGCCCAGTCCACGGTGTCCACAGCCGTCCAGTCCCCGGTGGCCACAGCCGTCTATCTACCGGTGTCCTCAGCCGTCCAGCCCCCGGTGTCCATAGTCGTCCAGTCTCTGGTGTCCACAACCGTCTATCTACCGGTGTCCACAGCCGTCCAGTCCACGGTGTCCACAGTCGTCCAGTCTTTGGTGTCCACAGCCGTCCAGCCCCCGATGTCCACAGCCTTCCAGCCCCCGGTGTCCACAGTCATCCAGTCTCTGGTGTCCACAGCCGTCTATCTACCGGTGTCCACAGCCGTCCAGTCCCCGATGTCCACAGCCTTCCAGCCCCCGGTGTCCACAGTCGTCCAGTCTCTGGTGTCCACAGCCGTCTATCTACCTGTGTCCACAGCCGTCCAGACCCCGGTGTCCACAGTCGTCCAGTCCCCGGTGGCCACAGCCGTCTATCTACCGGTGTCCACAGCCGTCCAGTCTCTGGTGTCCACAGCCGTCTATCTACCGGTGTCCAAAGCCGTCCAGTCTCCGGTGTCCACAGCCGTCTATCTACCGGTGTCCACAGCCGTCCAGTCCACGATGTCCACAGCCGTCTATCCACCGGTGTCCACAGCCGTCTATCTACCGGTGTCCACAGCCGTCCAGTCCCCGGTGTCAACAGCCGTGTATCCCCCAATGTCCACAGCCGTCCAGTCCACGGTGTCCACAGCCGTCCAGTCTCTGGTGTCCACAGCCGTCCAGTCCACGGTGTCCACAGCAGCCCAGTCCACGGTGTCCACAGCCGTCCAGTCCCCGGTGGCCACAGCCGTCAATCTACCGGTGTCCACAGTCGTCCAGTCTCTGGTGTCCACAGCCGTCTATCTACCGGTGTCCACAGCCGTCCAGCCCCCGATGTCCACAGCCTTCCAGCCCCCGGTGTCCACAGTCGTCCAGTCTCTGGTGTCCACAGCCGTCTATCTACCGGTGTCCTCAGCCGTCCAGCCCCCGGTGTCCACAGTCGTCCAGTCTCTGGTGTCCACAGCCGTCTATCTAGAGGTGTCTACAGCCGTCCAGACCCCGGTGTCCACAGTCGTCCAGTCTCTGGTGTCCACAGCCGTCTATCTACCGGTGTCCACAGCCGTCCAGCCCCCGGTGTCCACAGCCGTCCAGTCCCCGGTGTCCACATCTCCTCTAGTAAATTGAAATTGATATATTTAAGAAAAAAGTCTTTAATTTGTTAAAAAATTTTGTGACATATATATCAACATAAAGAAATAAAATGCAATGCTTATTTATTTCATATATTTTTAAAAACTGAATAAAACAACTATCATTTAATAGGCTAGATGGCACAGGTGACCATAGGTAAAATACAGGTAAAAACACAGGTAAACACAGATAAATGAATAAGAAATAGACTATAATCCTTATCACAACATTCTTCTGTCCATGTTATTTTAGATAGTCGGCAAATCGGGCTAGAGACCCACGGCGGGTGTGTCTTTAGTCTGGCGATAGACAGTTCGGCTAGAGACCCACGGCGGGTGTGTCTTTAGTCTAGCGATAGACAGTTCGGCTAGAGACCCACGGCGGGTGTGTCTTTAGTCTAGCGATAGATAGACACGGCGGGTGTGTCTTTAGTCTAGCGATAGACAGAGACCCACGGCGGGTGTGTCTTTAGTCTAGCGATAGACAGTTCGGCTAGAGACCCACGGCGGGTGTGTCTTTAGTCTAGCGATAGACAGTTCGGCTAGAGACCCACGGCGGGTGTGTCTTTAGTCTAGCGATAGACAGTTCGGCTAGAGACCCACGGCGGGTGTGTCTTTAGTCTAGCGATAGACAGTTCGGCTAGATACCCACGGCGTGTGTGTCTTTCACTGTTACTCTTTCCTGTAACAATTATGCCCGACTTGTGTGATAAATAAATATACACAATATCATAGCTATCGTCCCATAATTATCTTAAACTATGATTCTACACTCACACATAATAAGCCTATTTCTATTCATGATACGAGAGTTCAACTCACAACAAAGAATTTAAATCTTTCGAGGAAGGTATATACGTGCGCATATCATGATACCAAGATAATCAAAGATTATGCATATTTCGATTAGTTCAGAATATCAACATTTGATGAAAATTAATAAAAAGCAGAGGCGTTTATATTTCCTCAACTAAAGAAAGCAAGTAACAGAACAAACAGTTCTAGTGACATCACGCGTCCTTATTTGTCTAACTAACTCTGATAACTTCACGTGCAACTTTCTTGAATATTTTTCCAAATCGATCTAAACTTCAAATTTCCATCATGGGGGGGGGGGGGGGGGGGCTTCATTGAGTTCATGGCTCAGTGATAAGTTTCATTGTTTATTTAAGCCTTTCAGCTCATTAGTATAAAAGTTAAATACGTATAGATACAATGTACGTGTACAATATAAAGCTTTTATAACACATACTAAATATTCAGATATTATATGAAAATTAAGTTACATTGTACAAGACGAGAAGAAAAAATGATAGACTGACGGACATATGAAAAGTACAAAAGTATAATAGAAGGACAATCATCATTTAATTAGTGCTGAACAATATCATTTTATAGGAAGCCATTGGCAGAAGATTCATGATAATTCAACAACACACATAAAACTTGAAATTTTGAGCGTAATTTTAAATTTGGTTGTAAATGTTTGCCTAGATAACAGAATTCTGTTGTATTACGTACTGTTAGTAATTTTACCAGTTTGTATGATGACGGACAATTTTACTTATCCCTTTCACTAAACTTTTTACTTAAATTTACATACAAATTAAAATAAATATAAAATGGAACTCGTTTTCTTCTAAATTCTAGTTACAATGAATGCAAATTCTATCTTTCCTTTGAATAATTTGGTATCTACAGTCTTCTAAATGCGGCTGATGAGAAGAAATTTTACATGATAAGCCGTAGATAATGATCCGAAATAGATTTAGATCAATAGTGCTGTTAAGTAATCGAGTCTAACATTAATTTGCACACATGATATTTTGACGAATTTTCAACATATAATTAAATGAATTTATGGACAAGGTGCTGTTTGAAAAAGAAAAAGTTAAAATACGTTTTAGTTATCAGCTCTGATATGATGATTTAACCAAACATCCCCCAACAGCAGATAATAACAATACGTTATTAGCCTGACACTGCCTGGTACAGATTCTGTGATTACATTCAATAGAAAGAGCGAATTTCTCTAATGTATGAACTGATTTTCACGATCGTTTACATCCATAGAACAAAGGAAGGGAGATAACCCTTCACCTTACATCAGGCCTGGTGTGCATGAAAAGAAATCTAACAGCTCCGACCGATTTGTTTCTCACACCTTTAACATTCATTAATGGACTTCGAAATCTTAAAAAAACTTTCCTCTTACCCCACTTCGATACAATTTCAAAAATAATTTAATTCTGTTCATACTATCAGAGACATATGTAACCCTGGTAAAATACTAGCCGCAATATACCACTTGGCTAGAGAGAACTTCTCTTTAGCTCGATTGGTTGAGCGTCAGACTAGTAAGCCAGGGGTCCCGAGTACGATTCCTAGCGGAGGCATTGAGATGAAAAATGACCTCTGTTACATTGGCGCCCATGTAGGGACCCGGGAATAGTACTTAGCCATGCCCCACCAGTATCGCTGTAACCCCTGGAAACTCGAGGACGAGTTATTTACCAGGTTACATACTCCCCGTATGCATTGAGATGAAAAATGACCTCTGTTACACATATATAACTATCGAAAGGCTTGATATGCCCTGCTTGTACTCTCAACCAGGGACGTATATCTCAACTGGGAAGTGGTGCGAAAGACAAATGAAACAAATTTACTAGAACACTTTCGTCTCCGTCTACGTTCTACTCATTTGTCGTGAACGTGTTATAACGATATCGCCGCCTACTCACGTATGACATAGTACAAGAAGATGTGATCACATTAGGTTGGTTATGACAGATAACGCTGGATGATTTCCCCAATTGACGCCTCTTACGCCGGTCGACCATGTCGGTCATATGACTTGAAAATCATATGACTTCGATCGTAAAGATGGCGGAATCAACAAAGCTTGTACTGTTAGTGTGCCTATGCTGCTTTCAATGTATTCTGGGGAATAGCCAGTTGCCTCTCCAAGATGACTATCACGGAGCAAAGCCCACGAGAGGGGAGCCATGGCCATTACCTCAGAGTTACTCGCCGAGCGCTGAAACCTTCTACTTGGATCGTATGTCGTTTGAGTTTCGAGCGACCGGTGCGACTTGTGACACTCTGAATGCTGCAATACAACGTTACTCCGAGCTCCTTTTCGATGATGCACCGACCGACAAACGGCTGAAATTCTTTCCAAGATTAGACCGTTTAAGCTCAGCTGATGGAAGTGTGAATACGCTAAGTGTGCACGTTCAGGAAGCTTGTGATACGGCAGGCAACATGTACCCAGCTCTCGAATCCAATGAAGCTTGTATGTACCGAATGCAACATTCGGTTATTCATTGATTCTTTCTTTGCACATGTGACTTCTTTTCATCACTAGCGATCAAAATCATCAGTTACCTATGCCAGGGACGTATAATACAAAATCATTAGAAACTGCCTATATCTCTTTGTAACACTGTAGCCAAGATAGAAATCATCCAGAACAGTTTTTTTTAGCCATTTGTCTTCAAAAGCGCAGATCAAATTTTTTCAAAATATACAGTATTAGAAACTGCATAATTTTTCAACTTAATTTTGCAAACTTTTGTGAAAAATAATTTCTGTTAACTTTTGATATTTGTAAAGAAAAATGCATTTCAAGCTACTTACATCTTAAATACCATCCTATATTGTATATCTCTTTCTGCCCGAAATATGCACAAAATTGTTTTAGATATGATGGCCTTAAAAAGCTGAGAAATTTACCAATTGACCTGTGTCAATTTTGTGATAGGTAACTTTAATTTATTTTAGTGTTATCTTTGTCAGTGTGATGTCCATCATAGGGATATGTAAATAACTTCTGATAACAGGAGTAAGAAGACGTCACTTCATGCACAGCTTTTATCTATGGCACAGTGAACAAACATGAAAATTAAATGAGAGAAGTCACCAATGAGCCATGTTTCTTATCCCTCTGTACTGTATGTCCCTGATATGTATATATGGATTTTATTATTTAGCGAGCAATAAAAAATTCATTGACTGTTGGAAAAATGTGGAATTGAACTGGTGTTTGGCTGATTCGTGGTTTTATGCTAGCATTATTTATAGTGGCCGGTTATAGATATATGCATATAGGAATACTCAGTTATCGCATAGCTTATCTCTTGCTACCACTGTTGTAATAGCGAAAAAAATATAAAATTATAAAAAAAATGGATCCTGTGTCCTTCAATGGACACCAAAAAAGTAATGAAAGAAAACATTATGAAAAGAAAATAATATTAACAAAATGACAACTTGTATATATTCATACTGGCTATTTGATACTCGTCCAAAATGTGAGAAGTGTTTATATATTTAGGACTCCTCTTTTATATTTTGAGCTACATTGTTGGAGACTACAGTGAAGTATTGATCAATAATTTATTTTCCAGATAACTTAACAGTTGAGAGTCCTAATTCCCAGTTATTGGCCAATACAGTATGGGGAGCTTTGCGGGGTTTGGAGACATTCAGTCAACTGGTTTATGAAGGATCAGAAAGCAAGGTAATACAGGCACTCCAATGAACAATGTTTCACTATGCCTAAAGGTAAAATCGTGTTAACCTCTGCTACACTGGAAGTCGTTAATTTGAGATATGACAGATTGATGTTGACATTTTAAGATAAGTTTAATATTAACACATTATCTGATCATCTTTGTTTAAACAAACCATTATCCTACAAATTGCTACAAGTGATTAACAACTGAGCTTATTTTGCCCAAATTTGGTTAGAAGCATCCTTTGGGAAAAGGGAATTAGTTTTGTATAAAAGGTGGGTCTCGGCCTCCTGGGATGGGAGGGACAGGTTGGGGCCCAATATGGGAATTAGTGTAATTTTTTAAAATCCTGTTCCTTTTGTAGGAATGATTGCTTTGCATTTTGCCCAAATTTGGTGTGAAGCGATTTTTTGGTAAAGAGGAATCAAACCTCACACACTTACAAATGTTCTTTATTGGTGATGAAGCCTCACTTTAAATTGTCCCATATTATACATATTGAACATGAAGCCTCACTTTAAATTGTCCCATATTATACATATTGAACATGAAGCCTCACTTTAAATTGTCTCATATTATACATATTGAACATGAAGCCTCACTTTAAATTGTCCCATATTATACATATTGAACATGAAGCCTCACTTTAAATTGTCCCATATTATACATATTGAACATGAAGCCTCACTTTAAATTGTCCCATATTATACATATTGAACATGAAGCCTCACTTTAAATTGTCCCATATTATACATTGGTCATGAAACTGTTTTGTCAGATTTTCATATCTATTCATTGCATTGTTCCAGTAAAATCACCAAAAATTCAAATTACAAACTAACTGTATAGTTTTTGTTTTTACCTGATGAACACCAAACAGCACCATCTAAATCATTACAGTGTGGTAGCTAGTTGGAACCAGCAGGGGATAAGCTTTAGCAATATACAGTATGCTTGTGTGTATCCTTGTCAGAAGTGTCTAGCTAATCACCAACAAGCTCAACTATTGATGAATGCATTTAAGAAGTATTGACTAGTAGATAATCTAGAGGTACTGTGAAGTGTAAAATCAATTAGTTTTATATTCCTTTAGTAAAGATATAATTCAATCATGTTTATCTTTATCAATTGTAGCTTGAGATCAACAAGACTGTCATTATGGATTTCCCACGATTCCAATACCGTGGGATTCTTTTGGATTCTTCGCGTCACTTCCTGTCTGTAGACATCATCAAAAAGAACCTGGTAATTTAATTTTGTTATCAATCATAGTAGAGGAAGGACACTTTTTATGATTGTCTACCCTGGTAAGAAGATGTCGTGACACATAACAAATTCTTGTTTGTTACCTAGAGGTCATTTTCATAAACTTAAGGATTTTTTATGGGACCCAAATTTGTACTTTTTAATCAGTTATAGAAGAGGGAAGAAACTTTAAATGATTATTAACTACTATGAGAAACTGAGTCACATACTATGTTTTATCCTGAAAGGGTCAAAGTTTAAAACTTGGGGCTTCATTCTGTACCCTATACAAACTACAGAGAGTTGTTTCCAATCTATACATCTGCAGTCAGATAAACCTTACCATAATGGCTGTATACTTTAGCAATAGTTTTCATCTCAGTGTCTTGTGAAAATCTAGCTGTTCTGTTTTCAAGTAGATTAGGGAATATGGGAACAACGACCTATTTTGTTAATTCTTTTGAAAAATATTGAAGTGTATATATCTTTTTAAAAACCCATGATGTATGTATAATGTAGATATGTTAGGAGAGGGCTTTATAATTTATGAGAACTTGCGACCAATTGCTTTTATCAGTTTCAAGGTAAATCAAATATGTTTAGATTCAATTTGATTCAACATGTCTTCCTCATTCATTTACTTTGCCTTCATAAGAATGAAATTGGTTTCTTTACTTATGTTACATACATGCAATATTTCTTTATAATTCTAATATTGAGCATGTGTTTCAGGATGCCATGGCTTATAACAAGTTCAATGTGTTCCACTGGCACATTGTAGATGATCAGTCATTCCCATATGAAAGTATCCATTTCCCTGAGATGAGTGCTGCGGTAAGGTTTATTACACCCTCGACCTCTGGGTGGGTAGCTAGGCTATGTGAGCTAGCGGCTGAGAAAAGGACCCTTATAGGCCAAAGAATGGATTTTATATTTTTGCATCTATTCAAAATATAGACAATAATGATTAAAATGAGGTATTATCAGGATAGAACCATAATTGTCAACACAGTATCAATTTCAATTTGGACTATTTTGCATTTGAAGGATTCATTTCTTTGTGAATGTTGAAATGTCATGAAATTTTGACACATCTATTTTATGAAGTGTATGTATCATTGGTTGTCTTTCCCTTAAGCTCAGACTTTCATTGGTAAGATTTTAAGTACATGTACTAAACACCATTGATAATCCTTTCAGGATGAAGAAAATCTGATCGAGTTCTTTTTCTGGCTGGTGACATATAGGTGTTACTTAAAGTAAATGAACATTAAAATATAGTGTAAGTGGTTTTGTACATACAGTTATGACACATTTTATTTGCATTATTATATTTGATCTGTTTCAGGGATCTTATTTTGGTCTGTCTCACACTTACACTCAAGCCGACATCAGAGATATTGTAGAATATGCAAGGCTGAGGGGGATCAGGGTGGTCCCTGAGTTTGATACACCAGGTAGTCAAAGTCACATAAAAGTTTTTTTTTTATTTCTCCTTTTTTCAAATATTGATAATTGTAGGGATTTTGATTTTTGACAGAAAACATTGTAAACCTTGAAGTAAGCTATGTCCAGGTTAGGAATCTTATCATATATATATTACAGTTCTAATGATGTCATTGGGCCCTTTCTTATATTTTGTGCATAAGATTTTTTTTTCACTGATTGACTCATAGCAGGCTTAGATATAAATATTAAGTATTTAATATCTATTCTTTAAACTAGATTCCTGTCTGACTTCAGACATCCATCTCTCAGAAATGTTGTATATCGGGCCATGTCTTGTACATGTACAATGTTATTGTTGCTATGCCCTGGTTTTATTGTTTTCACTAGGCCACACTCAGTCCTGGGGGAAGGCGATACAAAACTTGCTGACAAAATGTTACTCTTCCGGGAAACTAAATGGTAACTATGGGCCCATTGATCCCACCCTCAACTCAACATATGCCTTCTTGACCAAATTTTTTGGCGAGGTAGCCGAGGTGTTCCCTGACCACTATATCCACTTGGGTGGGGACGAGGTGTCCTTCTCCTGCTGGTAGGTGTTCTATAGTACGATTTGTGTTTATCTACAGATTAATGTGAATATTCCTTATGTGTTGAGATAACCACGACATGATGATGTGATCAGAGTAGCCTCTGTTTAGCCTGAAATAAGCAGAGGGAACTAACACAGAATGTTTATTTAATCTTGTCGCAGACTTATCATGAATGTGCTACTCATTCCTATCAAAGCGTGTAATTAATTTCTTATATAGGTTTCAAAAACAAGAATAGCACATAAATGTATATATAGTTTGACTTTGAGAGAAATAGAATATTGCATGTGAGTTATTAAAGAAATCTCACTAGATTTAGTTCATTTGATTGGATTGTATATTTGTACAGGGTGAACATATTGATTTCAGTTTAATGGTATTAGTAAAGAACATGTATAATATCATGATATTTATCGATACCTATTTCAGGCAGAGCAATCCCGACATCACAGATTTCATGAAGAAAATGTCCTTTGGTACCAACTATGCAGAATTGGAGCAGTATTACATGCAGAAGTATGTATTTATAATTTCACATTTGGCATACTCAGTACTGATTCTGTATTGTGTTAGACTTTTAGGATGATTGTGTACTGTCTGTGTTAGGATGGTTGTGTACTGTCTGTGTTAGACTTTAGGATGATTGTGTACTGTCTGTGTTAGACTTTAGGATGATTGTGTACTGTCTGTGTTAGACTTTAGGATGATTGTGTACTGTCTGTGTTAGACTTTTAGGATGATTGTGTACTGTCTGTGTTAGACTTTAGGATGATTGTGTATTGTCTGTGTTAGACTTTAGGATGATTGTGTACTGTCTGTGTGTTATTGTGACTGTGTTAGACTTTAGGATGACTGTCTGTGTTGTGTATTGTCTGTGTTAGACTTTAGGATGATTGTGTGTTGTCTGTGTTAGACTTTAGGATGATTGTGTACTGTGTTAGACTTTAGGATGATTGTGTACTGTGTTAGACTTTAGGATGATTGTGTACTGTCTGTGTTAGACTTTAGGATGATTGTGTACTGTCTGTGTTAGACTTTAGGATGATTGTGTACTGTGTTAGACTTTAGGATGATTGTGTACTGTCTGTGTTAGACTTTAGGATGATTGTGTACTGTCTGTGTTAGACTTTAGGATGATTGTGTATTGTCTGTGTTAGACTTTAGGATGATTGTGTACTGTCTGTGTTAGACTTTAGGATGATTGTGTATTGTCTGTGTTAGACTTTAGGATGATTGTGTATTGTCTGTGTTAGACTTTAGGATGATTGTGTACTGTCTGTGTTAGACTTTAGGATGATTGTGTATTGTCTGTGTTAGACTTTAGGATGATTGTGTATTGTCTGTGTTAGACTTTAGGATGATTGTGTATTGTCTGTGTTAGACTTTAGGATGATTGTGTACTGTCTGTGTTAGACTTTAGGATGATTGTGTACTGTCTGTGTTAGACTTTAGGATGATTGTGTATTGTCTGTGTTAGACTTTAGGATGATTGTGTACTGTCTGTGTTAGACTTTAGGATGATTGTGTACTGTGTTAGACTTTAGGATGATTGTGTACTGTCTGTGTTAGACTTTATGATGATTGTGTACTGTCTGTGTTAGACTTTAGGATGATTGTGTACTGTGTTAGACTTTAGGATGATTGTGTACTGTCTGTGTTAGACTTTAGGATGATTGTGTACTGTCTGTGTTAGACTTTAGGATGATTGTGTACTGTCTGTGTTAGACTTTAGGATGATTGTGTATTGTCTGTGTTAGACTTTTAGGATGATTGTGTATTGTCTGTGTTAGACTTTAGGATGATTGTATACTGTGTTAGACTTTAGGATGATTGTGTATTGTCTGTGTTAGACTTTAGGATGATTGTGTATTGTCTGTGTTAGACTTTAGGATGATTGTGTACTGTCTATGTTAGACTTTAGGATGATTGTGTACTGTGTTAGACAGTAGCATGATTGTGCACTGTCTGTGTTAGACTTTTAGGATGATTGTGTACTGTGTTAGACTTTAGGATGATTGTGTACTGTCTGTGTTAGACTTTTAGGATGATTGTGTACTGTCTGTGTTAGACTTTAGGATGATTGTGTGTTGTCTGTGTTAGACTTTAGGATGATTGTGTGTTGTCTGTGTTAGACTTTAGGATGATTGTGTACTGTCTGTGTTAGACTTTAGGATGATTGTGTACTGTCTGTGTTAGACTTTAGGATGATTGTGTACTGTCTGTGTTAGACTTTATGATGATTGTGTACTGTCTGTGTTAGACTTTAGGATGATTGTGTACTGTCTGTGTTAGACTTTAGGATGATTGTGTATTGTCTGTGTTAGACTTTTAGGATGATTGTGTATTGTCTGTGTTAGACTTTAGGATGATTGTGTATTGTCTGTGTTAGACTTTAGGATGATTGTGTACTGTCTGTGTTAGACTTTAGGATGATTGTGTATTGTCTGTGTTAGACTTTAGGATGATTGTGTATTGTCTGTGTTAGACTTTAGGATGATTGTGTATTGTCTGTGTTAGACTTTTAGGATGATTGTGTATTGTCTGTGTTAGACTTTAGGATGATTGTGTACTGTGTTAGACTTTAGGATGATTGTGTACTGTCTGTGTTAGACTTTAGGATGATTGTGTACTGTCTGTGTTAGACTTTAGGATGATTGTGTACTGTCTGTGTGTTAGACTTTAGGATGATTGTGTACTGTCTGTGTTAGACTTTAGGATGATTGTGTACTGTGTTGACTTTAGGATGATTGTGTACTGTCTGTGTTAGACTTTAGGATGATTGTGTACTGTCTGTGTTAGACTTTAGGATGATTGTGTACTGTATTAGACTTTAGGATGATTGTGTGTTGTCTGTGTTAGACTTTAGGATGATTGTGTACTGTCTGTGTTAGACTTTAGGATGATTGTGTACTGTCTGTGTTAGACTTTAGGATGATTGTATACTGTCTGTGTTAGACTTTAGGATGATTGTATACTGTCTGTGTTAGACTTTAGGATGATTGTGTACTGTGTTAGACTTTAGGATGATTGTGTATTGTCTGTGTTAGACTTTAGGATGATTGTGTACTGTCTGTGTTAGACTTTAGGATGATTGTGTGTTGTCTGTGTTAGACTTTAGGATGATTGTGTACTGTCTGTGTTAGACTTTAGGATGATTGTGTATTGTCTGTGTTAGACTTTAGGATGATTGTGTACTGTCTGTGTTAGACTTTAGGATGATTGTGTACTGTCTGTGTTAGACTTTAGGATGATTGTGTGTTGTCTGTGTTAGACTTTTAGGATGATTGTGTACTGTCTGTGTTAGACTTTAGGATGATTGTGTACTGTCTGTGTTAGACTTTAGGATGATTGTGTACTGTCTGTGTTAGACTTTAGGATGATTGTGTACTGTCTGTGTTAGACTTTATTGTCTGTGGATGATTGTGTACTGTCTGTGTTAGACTGTTAGGATGATTGTGTACTGTCTGTGTTAGACTTTAGGATGATGTCTGTGTTAGACTTTAGGATGATTGTGTACTGTCTGTGTTAGACTTTAGGATGATTGTGTACTGTCTGTGTTAGACTTTAGGATGATTGTGTGTTGTCTGTGATAGACCTTTAGGATGATTGTGTACTGTCTGTGTTAGACTTTAGGATGATTGTGTATTGTCTGTGTTAGACTTTACGATGATTGTGTACTGTCTGTTAGACTGTGTTGTACTGTCTGTGTTAGACTTTAGGATGATTGTATACTGTCTGTGTTAGACTTTAGGATGATTGTATACTGTCTGTGTTAGACTTTAGGATGATTGTGTACTGTCTGTGTTAGACTTTAGGATGATTGTGTACTGTCTGTGTTAGACTTTAGGATGATTGTGTACTGTCTGTGTTAGACTTTAGGATGATTGTGTACTGTCTGTGTTAGACTTTAGGATGATTGTGTACTGTCTGTGTTAGACTTTAGGATGATTGTGTACTGTGTTAGACTTTAGGATGATTGTGTGTTGTCTGTGTTAGACTTTAGGATGATTGTGTACTGTCTGTGTTAGACTTTAGGATGATTGTGTACTGTCTGTGTTAGACTTTAGGATGATTGTGTACTATCACAATTAATTACTCCAGACACAGTGTTGTCTCTCGTAGACGTTAGGATGATTGTGTACTGTCTGTGTTACTGTGTTAGAGGATGATTGTGTACTGTGTTAGACTTTAGGATGATTGTGTATTGTCTGTGTTAGACTTTAGGATGATTGTATACTGTCTGTGTTAGACTTTAGGATGGTTGTGTACTGTCTGTGTTAGACTTTAGGATGATTGTGTACTGTCTGTGTTAGACTTTAGGATGATTGTGTGTTGTCTGTGTTAGACTTTAGGATGATTGTGTGTTGTCTGTGTTAGACTTTAGGATGATTGTGTACTGTCTGTGTTAGACTTTAGGATGATTGTGTACTGTGTTAGACTTTAGGATGATTGTGTATTGTCTGTGTTAGACTTTAGGATGATTGTGTACTGTCTGTGTTAGACTTTAGGATGATTGTGTATTGTCTGTGTTAGACTTTAGGATGATTGTGTACTGTCTGTGTTAGACTTTAGGATGATTGTGTACTGTCTGTGTTAGACTTTAGGATGATTGTGTACTGTCTGTGTTAGACTTTAGGATGATTGTACTTTCTGTGTTAGACTTAAGGACTTTAGGATGATTGTGTACTGTGTTAGACTTTAGGATGATTGTGTGTTGTCTGTGTTAGACTTTAGGATGATTGTGTACTGTCTGTGTTAGACTTTAGGATGATTGTGTACTGTCTGTGTTAGACTTTAGGATGATTGTGTACTGTCTGTGTTAGACTTTAGGATGATTGTGTACTGTCTGTGTTAGACTTTGATGATTGTGTACTGTCTGTGTTAGACTTTAGGATGATTGTGTACTGTCTGTGTTAGACTTTAGGATGATTGTGTACTGTCTGTGTTAGACTTTAGGATGATTGTGTACTGTCTGTGTTAGACTTTAGGATGATTGTGTATTGTCTGTGTTAGACTTTAGGATGATTGTGTATTGTCTGTGTTAGACTTTATGATGATTGTGTGTTGTCTGTGTTAGACTTTAGGATGATTGTGTATTGTCTGTGTTAGACTTTAGGATGATTGTGTGTTGTCTGTGTTAGACTTTAGGATGGTTGTGTACTGTCTGTGTTAGACTTTAGGATGATTGTATACTGTCTGTGTTAGTGTCTGTCTGTGTTAGACTTTTAGGATGATTGTGTACTGTCTGTGTTAGACTTTAGGATGATTGTGTACTGTCTGTGTTAGACTGCCTTCTGGCGGCCATGGCCGATATTTTTTATTTCTTGTGTAGGAATTCCTTGGGGTTAGGTGGTCATGATATGACATAAAATTAAGGTCAGATCTGAGCCATTCATTAGTTATGGGGGGGTAAAGTGGGGGGTAAAATTCATAAACAGCTCCATTATGACAAACCTACATTATATTTTTGGATTTTTTCTTCTTAATTTTCATGTAATAATCCATATCAAAACATTCATTAGTAAAATTGATTGAAAAAAATATTCCATTGTTGAAAAGTAGGTCATGGTAATTAAGCTCATTAAT